TTTCCTTAATTTATGTATAATATTTGGAAACAGCACTGGGTGTGAAGTGAAGATCTAAGGAGGTGTAACAGGATTACTGATATCAAAGCCCATTCTTCCAAAGGGCTGCTGGGAAAGGAACAATCCTTCCCATGGGACATAAACCCTGGCACTGGGATTTTTATTGCTGTTGATTTTCAGTTACTACAAATGTCTAATCATTCTCTAGGGTACTTTTTGTTGTGAAGAGAACTCAGGGACAGCAGAACTGAGAGGTGGGGAGGCTCTAAGGAGAAAAAGAAACTTCTTTAAGAAAGTCCCAGGGAATCATGGTGTGGCCAGTGGTAACTCTTCTGCACATAATTAAGGAAGCTAACCACTGGCTCTTACTTATCTAAAGATAAAATATAAGCTTCATTCAACAAATATTTTTAAATGCCAGGTAATGCCAGGGCATCACAGTCCCCTCCATGCTCCTGTTGCTGTTCCCAGCCTCATCATACCACGCAATCCAACTCTCTGTCTTGCACTTTTTTGCTCTCTGTCTTAATTTTTTTGGTTTTAATTCCCTCAATTGTAATCTTCTGGACTTTGCTTTTGATCTTCCTTCTGTTTAGAATTCTGTTATTTGCCTAAGTTTCATTTATCTTCTAAGATTCAGGTCAGAGATACCTCCACAAGAAATCTCCCTGAATTCTAAGGCAGATGAAGTACCTCTCCTCTTTGCTCCCATAGCATGTTACACTATATGGATCTATTTATGTTGTCTTATCTTCCCTACTAGACTGTGAACATGTCAAGGGCAGGAAACCTCTACATCCTAGGTCCTTAATAGGCATATGATACATATTCATGGCCTTCAACTCAATGAACATCCCTAATAGTTAAGGGCAAGGGAGAAGATCATAAAACTGATCAACCCACTGTCAGAAGTCAAAACTCTGTCACAATATACTTAAACACAAGAACTTAGAATACCTGCTTCACTGAAGTTGGAGCTCTGCTTTGAACAGTATTGTAAATTCCTCATGAAAAAGGCAGAAAAAACTATGAGTACTCTCACCAAGTGCTCTCAAATGAAATCAGTCTGAAGCAGTTTTCATTAAGATGGATTGAATGTGGCATCGTGAGAAACACTTTATCAAATGTAGTGTTTTACTTAGTGATTAACTATATACCAGTTGATGAAGCTCCCCAAATCCTTTGTAATCCCACCACTCCAATAAACATTTAATGAGTATATAAGTTCAAAAAGCCTAGCAGAGGATTTAAACCTTCAATCTTGTTTTTATTTACTCATGGAACTCAATTTCTCACTTCAAGTGAAGAATGTTGGTGCTCAAGGCTCATCTGTTGCCCTGGTAAAATTAATGTGCCTCCCACAGTTTAAATTAAACATGCGATGTTTAAGATGAAAGAAATTTAGTAACAATGGCAGAGTATCGGTCATTCTTGCCTTAAAATATTTGAACATCAGCAAACTGTTTTCTTAAAAATGATTCATTCAGAAGTTTAAAAAATATATTGAAAATGATTTGTTTTCACTCTCAAATGTACAGTCTGAAAAGGAGAGATGAAGTTTGAGGATTGAATCCTGTAGTATAGCAGTTAGCACTGAAAAGCTTCTGGAAGTAAGGTGATAGTAAAACACACTTACATGTGTTGGAACACCTGTACTCTCATTTGGCCTCCACTACTTACCCTTGATTTGTCTTTGGTTAAGTCATGTAGCTTTTCTGAGCTTCCTCATCTCTACAATGAGAATATTGATATTATATATCCCCATCTCACCAGTTTGCTGTGGGGTTCAAATGAGATATGCATAGGAAGAAGCTTCATAAACCACAGAGCACAATATAAATCTAAAGTAGCAGTGCTATTTCTATTCTTTCTATACAATCCTCTCTAATTTTGAAAGGAGATGTATATAATTTGGTTGATGACTATAATAAATGTCCCTGCTTAGATCTAATTTTGAATAATTTACCCATTCTGTGGATGAATTTTACTTAAGTTTAGGGCAATGTAATAAATGATACATAAACTGCTGTTGATCTTTAACTTGGGAAAGAGAAAAAAGGAAAGAAAAAAGCCCTGGACAAGGGGAAAAAGATAAAGACAGTTTAGGAGTCCAAAGAGGTCAATGGATTTGGGTATCAATCTAATATGAAACAAAACACATGAACCAATGATTTCCAGTTGTTAAAATACCAACACAGTCATCAAAAGCAAACAATCAATTGTTTCATTAGAAATACCCAGAAGTTAATAAGAGTTTACGTTCCTCTGGGAATCATCAGTCTGAATATATCCAAATGCCAATCTACTATACAAAGACACTCAATAAAAAGTTCTTTAATCTATTATATACTGTATATTTAAACAATGTATCGTCACAAAGTTATAGTGTTTACAGTAGCTTTTTAAATGGAATTTAAAAGATGTCTATGCTCATTTGGGAGCTATATTTAGGTTATAAAAGGCCCTCACATCTTCCAGTTACTTCAACTGCTTAGCAATCTTATTGGAAAAGCAGAGACAAATTAATCCCAAATACATTCTTATCCAGGAATGAACTGAAAAATAGATTATTTTAAAGCTATAATTACTCTTTCAAACATATTTATGTTCAACAATAAGTGATTGTTTAAATATAATAACATTGCTGTACAATGAGAGACTTAATAACCATTAGAAATCCTGTTATAATAAAGCATTCAGCATTACTTACAAAGCATTCTTGCAACAAAAAAAAAAAAAAAAAAAAATTGACCTGAATCTAACAAAGCTTTTAGACTTAACAGCCATTTCTCAGGAAATAAAGAGATAAAGGAACAAGTTAAATCATATCACAAGGAAACAATCACACAAATCCAGAATCTGGAACAATCTGTAAGTCATCCAGCATGATTTCTTCACAAAGCAAATGTCATAAAAAGGGGTGGGTGGGGGAAAAAAGCAGGTGTCTGCTTAAAAGGGTTTAAGAAATCTAACAACCAAATGTAATTTGTGATCCTTGAGTGGATCACGGTTTCCAAAAAAAGAGTCAACTGGTGAACTTTGAATATCCACTGGATACTAGATGACATTAGGAAATTATTGTTAGTATGTTACATGTGACAATGGTATTGTGATTCTGTAGGGGAATGTCATTATTTTTGGAAAGTGCATGCAGATGTTTTCAGGGGTAAAATATGATGTCTGTGATTCACTTTGAAATGGCTTAGCAAAAAATAATTAATATATAAGAGTATCCTAAATGTTTTATGCAGTTTAAGTTTTAATAATTTCAAAAGTTTAATTGCTAAAGCTCCATTAAAACTTCGGGATGCCCTGTATACAGAAGAAGCAAATATGGCAAAATTTTAATAACTGTTAAATCTAGGTATAGGGGATTTAAGTGTTTATTGTACTACTCCTTTACTTTTTCTGTATTAAAAATTGTTTTAATAAAAGTTAAAATATTATAAAATATAATTAAGTAAATGATCATATAATATTAAAAGGTGAAGATAAGCTGTTTTAACAGGATTATAACATGACCAATTTTATATTAAATATGCATGTGTGCTGAATGAAATAAATATATGGAAAGAACATATAAAGTTAATCTGTGTTAGAATATATTCTTTTAGCTTTTCAGTATCTTCCATAAACCTGTACTTATGGAAACTATAAACCTGTATTACCATAAATATATATTTCTTCAAAAATAAAATCCATTTAATATAGATTTAATAGTAAAAAATAGATGTTTAAAATTGCCTTTACAACGGGCTATTCCACTATTCTTAGGGTAGAGAACAGTTTATGTTTCTTAATCTACTTCATTGAACTGTCAATGATAGATCTAAGCTTGATCACTAATTATTGTCTTGGAATTCAATTTTTAAAAACTGTTTAAAATGAATGTTTCTTTAGGTCAGAGTTTAACATAAGTAGAAACTAGAAATTTCAGAGGCATCCTTGCACTCTATTCTCAAAATTCTTTGTCCTCTTTAATTCCAATAACTTTCCCTCTAACTCCATCTACACCTTATTCCTTCCTTCTTCTCTCTTTTTTCCTTCATTCATTAAGCATACAGAGTATTTACTATGTGTAGGGATGTAAGGTACATTGTCACTGCCAAAAAGAAAATCAAATCTCTTGAGAAGACATATATATAAAAGAGAGAGAATGGATAATTAAAAGCAATGTGTTATCATTGCAAAGTACTAAAGGGTGGGTGTGGAAGAGTAGGAGTCAACCAGGTAAAGAGCAGGATGAAAGGTATTCCTGACAGTGGGGCAGCATGAAAAAAGAGTTAGATTATAGGGAAGTACAAATTGTACACTACTGCTAGATTTATTAAGTGTAAGGCAGGAAATGGGAAGAGCTGAAGTTGTACAGATAGGCAGGAGCCAGATAACTGGGGTCTCGACTACAGTGTCAACATATAAGCAGAGCAACCACACAGAATCTTTGTGCTCAAAATGTAACTTCTGGTTTCTTGTTACATACTTGGATCTACTTGATTTCAAGATCACAAGATCTTGTGATCTACTTGATTTCAAGATCACAAGATCCATTTCTATATTTAAGGAAAAATCTTTTTGTTGTCTAAAATGACTTTTAGGAAAAAATACTACAGTTATAAGATATATACTATTAGATGGAATAATCATTTGGGGAAAAGACTGAAGGACAAATCATTTAGCAAGAAACTGTCGATCACATAACTGAAAAGAATACGAACACGTAGCCTGGTCCCTTCTAAGCATGTCCACCCCTTGTTCCCCCTAAAAAAAAAACAAACCCCATTTCAGAGCTTGACAAAGACTTCTGCAGAAGCCAGCAGTACCCTATCATACTACTGCCCCTCTGAAATGGGCATCTTGGTGATGATTAGGTTGGTAGATGAACCAGAAACAAAATCAAGTCTTCAATCTGAAAAAAACAGAAAACATCAAGCATTGCCTCAGGCCTGGTGGTAAACCTATGGGATACACTTTTTAATCAGAAAAGGTAAGATTCCACTTACATCTCGGGCTTTCACATAGAAGGCCTCTTGAAAAGTTGCTTCTAATGAGCCAATAAAAAATACAGGATGGCAGTCACCATATCTATAGGAAAAATTGTGTCTATTAATTAAAATACATTTCAAATTTCACAAGTCTAACCAATGAGTTTTAAGTAAATGTTGGGGCTAATGTCTCTTAAGTATAGACAAAACATTAAAACATTTCTTTAAAGGGTTAGGAATGGGCTTCATTAGTTTTTTGAACTCTTCTTGGCCTATACCGATATATCAGAATACTGGAATTTTAAGTACATCTAGCAAATGGACTTAATGAGTGCTATGAAACCATGCCATTTACAAGTAGCAATTCCTGGTTACCCACTTCCCTAAGATTTTCCTAGTTACAATAGCCTTAACTTTCCATTTTAGTTCATTTATTCTCTAACACAGAGGGAAAAAATGGTTCCTTGCTAAGTTTCCAAATTACATTACATCAGAAAATAGAACTAAAGAGAAATATTGTTTACATGAAAATTTAGGTTTAAATAGTTAAATCTTTTTAAACACCTCTAGGCGAATCTCAAATGCATAGAAAATTTTATATTACACTATTAAAAGAAGAAATGCTAAATGATTCCAAAACAAAAATTAAAAGAAAAAATTCACTTATATCTAAAATTTTTAAATTATTTTTTTATTCAATATTACTTTTAAAAGATTTTGTTTGTCCTAGGATATACTAAAACTTAGTATCCTATGACCTAGTCCTTTTGGAAATATAGTCAAGATATTAAATTAGTAATCCATTTATTATGCTTCTATAAAGATATAGAGATAAGATAAATACATCTCTGAAGTGGCACAGTCTACTAGTTATCTGACTTGAATACTCTGTATTCACCATTAGGACTATATATATTGATAAATGTATCCTTTGAATACTTTAAGAAGAAAGTGAAAACAATCTATGATTAAAGTTGCTCCAGAAAAATCACAGTAGCATTAAAAGAACATCAATTTTATATAGTTAATGTCCTAACCCTACCTTGAAGAAAACTCTGCTGTAAATTGTAATAAGGCATCTCCTTCATTTTCTGCGTTTTCTGGCACTAAAAAACAAACAAAAGAAAAAACAAAAACAAAAAACCAAAACAAATAGACACAAAAAACAAACCACATAACATCTAATCCCACATATAAGAAATATATTTAATCAATAAAGAGGAATTAAATTTTAGTTTCTGTGATACATCTGAGGAGACATTTTAACTCGACATACATTAGAAGATTTCATCAAACCTTAAAAAAGAACCTCAAAAAAATTTCAAGCTCATAAATTTTTGAAAACCAACTGATACAATCCTGCTAGGTGTTGAAAATATGTGCCAGTCATCAATTATGCTTGAAATGACATCTTGTGATTAAATTATATAAAAAGTTCTCAAATTATTCTAAAGATCTTATTAATCAGGAAAATAGTCATTTTATGTAAATATCACATCTATTTCTGCCCATGAATGTCGCCTAATTTCACAGAGTAAATGAGCCATTTATGGACTTATTTTAATAGTCATTTTGTATATAGCACCACTTATGATCTTGTCAGGTGCAAGTGAGGGAGATGGCACATTTAGTTTACTTCTTTCCTTCCAAAGATGGGTACCAGTGAATGGAAAAGTAATATAACTACTGATAAAACTGATATCTCCAATAAGATGTGTGGTGACAAGTACAGTCACAAAAAGTACAGCTATTTTGTTTATCAATTTCTGGGTTTAAAGTAAAGAGACAAACTCATAACTAATTATACATGTGAAACAAAAGTTACATTCCCTTGAGTTTTTAATGAATTTTACTAAAGTATTGGGAATGGTTGGGCTTAAGATCAAAATTCAAGAGGCTCTAGTTCCTATGAATAATGTCTACTTCTTATATTTTCTCTCTCCAAACCTGAAAGTCAGTAAGAGATTTTTAAGTTCATTGTTCCTCATAAGTTTCTGCACTAGGAGGGAGAATTACAATGCTGGACCCAAAGAGCTATTAATACTCACTCATTGGAGATTTCCTCAAGGCAGATGAAGCCATGCCGAATACTTCTCCATCATCCACCCCAAATTCGGAAGCATCTTCAAAGTCATCTCCATCACTATCACTAACCATATGAACATCGGTGCTTTGCTATTTAAGGAAAGTCCTATGATTAGTTTCATACTGACTTTAGGAAATCAAATTCCAAAATATAAATTATGTAATTACAATAGGACATTAGCATTATAAAAGTTTTATTAAATAAGAAGCTATTTGCTAGAGTGAAGCTTAATATTTCTCATTTTAAGGCTTACATATATTTCTAATCTTGCTGTGATATCCCTAGACTAAAGGCTAGAGCCTGAGTGAAAAAGAAGAATGCTTACAAACTCAATGAAGACTGGGATTTTTATCTGTTTTACCCCCAGCCTATGGTATACAATTAGGTGCTCAAGAAATATTCGCTCAATAAATGAAGAAATGGGTACAATCTAAGAGGTCAAAGATAAATAAGCTATACGAGTCTTTCAAAAAGCTCATGGTAGTCTAAACTTTTGGGCAGAAGTAATGGTAGCATTTAAAAATTTGCCTCTTCCCTACTGCAATGGTTCTCAAATTTCTCATTAGTGAAATATGGTACACTATCCCCATGTGTTATTGGAAGATAACATGAAATACACTATATACGAAAGCTCTTTGTAAACTGAAGGCCATTACATATGAGATGTAATAATGATGCTTCAATTCAATAAACATTTACTGAGAATTTACTACATGCTGGGCACTAATAAATATGCTCCGTTTATTTTGTTTTCAGCAACATCCGTTGAGATATAAGGTAGTACAATGAAAAACATCAGTTTCAAAATATGAACTTGGCTCCTGATCTCTAAGTTAGAATGGGATTTCAAAAATACTGAGATTTCAAACATTTGAACTGAGTTGTGAATACTGACCAATATTAATGTCTTGGATATGAAGGGGGTCCCAGCAAGGTAACTGGCTAAGTGCCTATCTGTACCACGTTTAATAAATAAAGTCTACAAAGACCATTGAATAAATGAAATTTCTATCTTTCAAAATATGTTGCTATGTACCTAAATTATGAAAATGCATTAAAAGAAACTCAGAATCAAAGACTCATGAAACTTGGCTAGAGGGGATGTTAGAGTTCAGTCAGTCATAGAATCATAGATTTTAAAGCTGGAAGGGATTTTAAAGATCTCTCACTAACGGTTTTCAAATTTCTTTTCACAGAGTTACCTCCCTCCCCTAGCACCAAGCAAAATATTATGTAAAATTATAGTGCCTACAATAGGTAAAAGTAAGGCCACTCTGGCTGATGTAGAGAGAGAGCAACAAGTAGCCTAATGCTCCTGGCCTTGGCCTTTTCTTCCTCACATCCCTTTGATAGCTGGGGTACCTCTGAAGGCTCTCAGGGCACTACGGAACAATTTTTAAAACTACTAATCTAGTGAGTCTAACAGCTCCAAATAAGGAAGGCAAGATATTTACTCCATATGACTCAGCAGGCTCAGCATTTCCTCCTTGGGCATAACCAAGCATTAATGTCCATAATTGTTAACATTTTCCCTCTTACCTTAAAGACAGTTTTCCCAATGGTTTGAATAGAGAAGGAAATGTACATATACTTACTGGATGAATAAAAATGAATGGTCCTTGCCCTAAGCATCTATCTGCTATTCTGACTATACCACTATTTCTCACAGAAGCCTTGGTTCTACTTGTACTCCTAATGCTACTTTAGTGTTTTGCTTTATAGAGCCAAGACCTCCTCTTGATTTCAGCAATTCAACAGCATAAAAATTCAAAACCCTTTCTCATTTCAAAACAGTGAAGGAGCCTCCCCTTCAAAATAACACATTTACTAGGACTATAACTGTACTTGAATTCCATCTGTTTCAGGTAGGCAAATATCTGGAGCATGAACTTCCCTTGAATTCTTAAATGGGTAAAGGCTCAGGATCTAAAAGGTACACTACACATTCCTTTAGGGTACTTAGCCAGGTTTGCAGGCAAGTGGAAAGAAACAAAAGTCCAGTATGACAAACTTTCTCACATCTTCTGTCAGCTAGGCTATCATCTCAGCCTTCACTTAGTCTTGCCTAGTACTCACCCTCCCTTAAAGAGGCATTAGATTAAGAAGGAGGTTTGGAGGACACAGGGATGAAAAAGAAAGGAACTGTTCTATATATCATCTTTTTTTTCTCATTGCTTTTACCTTACTCCTCCACATCTATCCTCTTTCTTCTAATCCAGCTTTCAGTCAAATAATAGCCCCTTTCCATAATAAGAGGACTAGGACAGTGATTTTAATTTTGTGCCTATGTAATGCATTATTTTGTCTTCACAAAGTACAGAATTCCCAACTCTCTTAAGATCCCAGAAAACAAAATCCTACAACAATAACATCTTCAAAGGGAGGTATCTAAAAAGCCGATTTTGTTGAAAAAAGTATATTTTGAATATGAATTATTGAAGTATCTGCAAGAATGAGCTACTTAATTATGTATAAGGAACTCCCAATCTCTTTCTTATCAAGCCATCTAACAGGTTAGGAAAATCTTTTTCTAAAAAATGAGATAAACAATCTTTTTTCATTAATGTTTGCTGATGAGAATAGATAATCTCTTGGTTCAGTCATGGTTGCTCTAAAATTCTTTGAAACCAGGGAAGCTATTTATTCAAAATTTTTTAAAAAGGTAAAAAAATTAGTGATTCTATTTTGGCTCTCTATTGCATTCATTTATTCCCTTTATCATTTACCATACATTCATAAACCCTACTAAATGCTACATTGCCTGGACTTGAGTGAAAGATATACAGTGTATGTTCTCTCAAGGAATACAATATATATATAGATAATTATAATACCTAACAATAAGTGTTATGACAGGTAAGTTCAGAGGAGAGCACCTAAATTATTGGGAGTGGGAGGAATCAGGGCAAACTTCTTAGAAAAGGTGATAACCAAACTGCTTGAGACAAAAATTTAGAACTCATACATGCATAAGACAAGCTTATAATTGAAGCTGATATTTCTTTCACCAACTACTTACCATGTCAAAGAACCAGGTTAAAAGCTTGGGATACAGAGAGAAAACATGGTTCCAAATTTCAAGAAATTCCCATTTTAAAGGAAGCTATATTTAGTTGCAAATATGTCTTTTCCAGTGTGTTAAGAGATACAATAAAAATATAAGCAAAGACTATTGGAGAATAAAGGAAAGAGTGATTAATTACTTTAGAAGACTGTGCAAGGCCTGACGCAAGTGCTAATATTTAACCCATATCTTTAAAAAAGATATCAGTGTTGTGGAGTGTATGTAATAGAAGATTGGTGGGGAGGGAGTTGTACTCTAGGCAGAGAAAAAACACAAGCAAGAAACTGGATATTTAAAAAATCAATAAAGAATTCCAAAAAACAAACTGAATCATCAGCTCTATGTATGGAAGAGGAATGTGGACTGGCTATAAGGCTAGAAAGTTTTCATGAAACTAGATTGTAGTAGTCCTTAAATTGGTACACTAAGGTATTTGGACTTTACTCTGATGGCAATAGGGAAATCACTAAAGGTTTTTAGGTGGAGGACTGTTCAAGGGAACAATTCTGATGTGTGTGTGTGTGTGTGTGTGTGTGTGTGTGTGTGTATCTGCGTGTGCATGTGCACGCATGCGCGTGTGTTTGCAGTGGTTTGGCAGCATATGGCAGATTAGACTTGAAGACATGAGAAGGGATACTTATTTCAATGTTCCAAGTGAAAGAATTTGAGAGCCTATACTTTAGTAGTAGTGGGAATTCAATGAAGGGGACAGACTTAAAATATACTTCAGTAGAACTGATAGGGATTGTTGACCAATTAGATTTGAGGATGAAAAAAATGAAAGAGGCATATGAAACAAAAATTTCTAGTTTGGGTGACTGAGTGGTAGCGAAGGTCAGGTTTGGTGAGGAAGAATACTGAGGCCAGTTCTCAGATAGAATACATTTGAGGAAGCTGTAGGGCATCCAGGTAAAAACATCTAGTAGGCAACTGGAAAAAAAAAATCTTTTTAGGAGCTCAAGAAAGAGACCCAGAAAAGATTTAGATTTCGAAATAATCAACAGATAAATAATAGTAGAGGCTATAGAAATGAATAAGATCTTTCAGTTAAAAATTAAAGGAAGAACAGTGATAAGGATAAAAGTTTACAGAATATATATTTCAACTGGTGGAGAAACAGTAAAAGAGATGGAAAGATAACTGTCAAAGATTAGAAAGGCAATTAAGAGGAAGAATCTGAGAAGTAAGGTGTGAGAAAAATCTCAGTGGAGACAAGCAATGTAAACAGATTCAGTAGTATGTGAATTAAGAAAGAGACAGTTATGGCACTATGACAAAAAAAAAAAACACAGCACAACAAAGAAACCTTGATTTATAATCAAAAGACCTAGTGTTAAAAAAAAAAAAAGACCTAGTGTTGAATACTTTGCCATTCTCTGTATGACTCTGGGCAAGCATCATTGCATCACCACTGTAGAAGGTGACATATTGACCCACAGAGTTGGCTGTGAAAGTGAAAAAAGGTGGCATAGCATGGTATTTTATAAAAACTATTTTCTCCTGTTCCATACTTCTTTTTACTGAAGTATAGTTGATGTACAATATTATATGTTACAGGTGTACAACATAGTGGTTCACAACTTTTAAAGGTTATATTCTATTTATAGTTATTATAAAATATTGCCTATATTCCCTGTGTTGTATAATATATCCTTATAGCTTTATACATAGTAGTTTGTACCTCTTAATCCCCTACCTCTGTCTTGGCCCTCCCTTCCCTCTTCCCACTGGTAACCCCTAGCTTGTTCTCTATATCTGTGAGTCTGCTTCTTTTTTGTTATATTCAGTAGTTTGTTGTATTTTTTAGATTCCACACATAAGTGATATCATATAGTATTTGTCTTTCTCTGTGTTATTCCATTTAGCATAATACCTTCCAAGGCCATCCATGCTACTGCAAATGGTAAAATTCCATTCCTTTTTATGGCTGAGCAGTATTCCATTGGGCTGGAGAGCTCATCGTGGGGCTCAGAACTTACTCCTGTGGGAGAACCTCTGCAATGAATTATTCTCCAGTTTGTGAGT